TGTCTGTCTGTCAATATACCATTTCGTCCTTGGGTTATTCATTTACTCCTCATTGCCTTGTTATTATTTTGTCAGCCTACTCTTCGGTTCATCATCCCACACCTGGTCAAGAAAGCAACTCCATCCTCATCTACTGTTCTTCGTCTGCTCGCCAAAGAACTGAACGTGAGCCGACGAGAGATGCTGTTAGAAAACTTCAAGTACGTCTTCTCCTTCCTGGTCAGGACGTGTTCACCAAGTGAACTGGAAAAGGCATTAGGCTATGTACAGGTTAGAAACAACAGGATCAAAAAAGCAATAGCCCATAACCGAGATGTCGTAACCAATGTCGTAAATATAAAAGCTTTCTTGAAAATCTTTAGCTTTGGTTTAAAAAAATTATATAGTGTTCAGTCGCCTGTCAAATACTAAACTTCTCAACAACGCAGCTCTTTAGTTATACTTCGTTCCCCCAAGTGTATCTCTCTCGTATGCTCGCTGTATGATGCACTTGGTCACGACATCTCGGAAATGCGCTATTCATCTTACCTTAGTGATCATTGTTCCTTTTCCCAGGACTCGCTCTACTTGTATTGATGGAGGGCTTCAAAACTTTGGGACCCACTACAAACTATTGGGATTCCCGGGATCAAGTCTTATTCCTAACACATTCTCTAGCGTAAATGTCTAGATTTTCTACGCATTTGTTTTCACTTTTCAATGTTGAATGATAGTCGGTTCCACTGGTCGGAACTCAACGTTTTCGACACTTGTGTGTTAGAATTTCAATACAAAGTAGTACATGGAGTTCAATACAATTTGTCTCTCTTTAATTCCAGAAAGAAACAGATGTAGAGCTAGGCAGCCTGTTACGTTCAGAGGCACAGAGTGTGTACAACCAACTGTTGCTCTATCTGAGTGTTAGTTATGACAAAGTGTTTAGTGGCCTGTCAATGTTGGCCAGCAAAGATACTTCATTCAGTGGGCTTAAAGATTTGAAGACTGCAGAAGACATGGTAATTATTCTTATCGATGCTTCTAGTCCGCTATTCTCAGCGGTCTTACCATACTCATATATGAGAATGGAAACAAAAAGACCAAAATAGCTCAAGGGAGGGAAGGGTTAGAAATAAAAAAATAAGGAGAGCAACCGCAGGTCGGGCGTGGTGGTGGTGTGGTGTGTGT